TTTCATGGTTCATTATAGACCTCCAATAATACTCATGCCAAGTTTCAAGTCTTGGATCACATTTTTGCTCAGTTAGTTAACCAGATGACTAAAAAATCAGTTATATTGGGTAAAAAGTCAACTGTTATCAACCCATAGTCAAACTTCAAGATTTTTGGCCAATATCAATATTTTAAAATCATATTCATAAATTTATCAAGGTTTGATACCAATTTCTCATGAAAATTGTTCAAATCATCAAAGGTACAAAATGGTCAAAATTAGGGTTTTGACTGAGAATGACTGATTTTTGACTTTTGACCTAATACATGATCTAATAACTTGAAGCATAATCTTAAGGGCTCAAACACATCATATTGACCTAACTTCATGGCTCAAACCATTTCTCAAGATCAGTGAATTGATAGTTGAAATTTGATCAACCGATGAAAAGTCAACTGTTACACCAAAAGTCAAACTTTGACTTTTGGGTCAACATTGAGTTTCAAAGATCAAAATTCATCGAGATACTCAAAAATATCAAACTTGGTCAACAAGAATCAATAAAATCAATAAAGTCCATAAAAAGTCAAAGTTTTCAAGACTTAAGAAAATTTTCTAAGTACATTTTATACTTGATAAATTCATTACTTCATGATCCTTTTTCACCAAGATGATTCAAAGAAAACTTTCAACATGAAAGTTGTAGATCTTGATGAATTCTATAAATTTGTATTAGAGGGTTGATGTCCAAAAAATACTTATATTTGAAGATATAAGCCCATGAAGTCGTGATATTTTTCATAAAACACTTGGTGAAAATTTTGAGAAGTTTAGGCAGATTTTTGACCTAACTTCTTGGCCAATTTTCACCTAGATATAAGATTATTTATCCAAAATGGTAAACATGAAGGTTGTATATAATGCTTCATGCTTTCCAAAATGTCCAAGAACTTGAAGAGATCATGCTTGAGCTAAGAGAATCGAATGCAAGAAGTTGGGTATCCGTTCTTGAATTACAAGTCATTTTGATGATGAACCCTTGGCCAAATCTCATAGCCATGCTGCATAATCTCACTTTGCATGCTTCTAACTTGTGTTTCACTCCATAATTAATTGATTACACAACTGTTAGAGCTTTGATCCAAGCATTTGAGCCATTTTCTAAGAGATTCGTCCATTTTGGCACAAAGTAGCATTGCCATTCTAGTAAAGTTGCTTTAATCACAAAGTCAACTTGTCTTGAACTTTGCACTTGTTCTTTCTGCACAAATTTCCTCTACAAAATCAGATAAGTATGTTTAAAGTGCCTAACCACTTTAGATAGCCTTGTACCTTGCCTTGGAACAATGCTTGTCATGCTTGCTTCAAAAACAAGTCAAATGGCCATAACATGTGAACTCTTGATTCTGATCCCTCCAAGCCTTCAAACCTCTTGCCTATAAATTGAGACATTATTTGCAAGCTAAGACATGGATGGGAAAGCCTTGAAACTCCCTCAAACTCCCTCAAACCAGAAATTACTCTCAAAACACCATTGTTGTGTCATTTCTGACTTTGAACATCCACCTCACAATCCCCTCATGCGTTTTCCATTTTCATCAATCACCGAGCTTCTAAAACACATATAGAGACTATCTAAACACATGCAACACGGCTGTAACACCATTTTCCTCATCTTACATTTTCAAAAATAGTTGCTTGCAGGTTGACTTCTCTAGAACATCTCAAGCACTCTCAATCCAAAGTAAGCATTGCAATAGCTTCCTTGAGGTTCAGTGAAGCTAGCCAGATCATTACAACATCTTGAAGAGTGCTCAAACTCAAAACACGACCTCCATCTGCAAGGTGGGTTTTTTGAAGTTCTAACTCTTCATACAAGCATCATTTGTCTTTGATTTTAAAAGATAAAATGTAGACATCATAGCCCTGAAACTAACCATGCCTTTAGATTTCATTTATGTTGTCTGAACATAGAGAATTTTGAAGTTGAACTTACAGAAAAAATTAGGTTAAATTTGATACCAACAGAAATTCGTGTTCATCTTTGATCCATAGTTTAATTTATTTACATATTTGAAATCGTGGTTAAATTTCAAGCAACTTTCATGTTTACATTTTTCATTTTGGTTGAGAAATGAGGAAGTTATAGATTTCAAAAATGGTGAAGAACATCCCGACGCGAGGAAGAAGAAGATGACATGTTCAGGACAAAGTTTATAATATATTAATTGATTTGTATTCTAAATACCGGATGTATAGTCACCCCAGTGGTAGAGAGCGTGCGCGTAAGGCATTATTATGGAGGGTCCTGGGTTCGAGCCCCAACGACACCTTTTGTTATGTTTTCCTTGTTCTTTTTTGTTTGACAGTGCGCTGGGTCTCCCTTGATTGGGCTTGGTTTCATTTTACTCTAGCTCATCCCCTCTCTTACTTTACACCACGCAGACCCATCACATTTATTTTATTTTTGTTTTATTTTCTGACTTATACAAAAAACTGTTTAGGTCCTAAACAAAAACTGTTTTACTTTCTAATCTCCTAATTCCTTTTCAAACCCCCTGACTTTTTAGTTTTTATTTTTATTTTTTATTTTCTTTTCTTTCTTTTATATTATTTTATTATTATTTTTAATCAAAAAATACAAAAATATATTTTCTTTATTAAATATTTAAAGTAAAAATTATTATTTTATTTTCACTTCATTTTATTTTTTTAAACAAAAGGCCTAAAAAATATTTTCTTAACAAATTAATTTTCTTTTTTTAAAAAAATAATTTAGATTTAGATTTTATTTTAGTTTTCTCTTTTAATTAAATTAACTTAGACTTGAGGTTTCTAATTAATCAACTTCTTTTCAAATCAATTAGGGTAATTAAAACTCTTTTCATACAAAAAAACCATAAAAATAATTCTCTTTTCTTTTACATCATCTTTACATTCTTGTATATTTTATTTTGCATTATTCAATTTGGTTGTAATAGTAATTAGGTTTTAATTGCTTTCATCCTCATTTACAAATTTGTATTCCCTATCCCAAAATATTGTAATAGCGTAGGATTTTTATTTTCCGCAATTTATCGCTTTTCATATTGTTGCTAGTAATTAGGGTTTGTATGGCGAGACTTAAAACCAAACAATAGACAATCCTAAATCCAAGACAAATGCATGAAAACAAAAACACTTTGCACACTTACACCTCTAGGATTAACCCAGACTTGTTACCTCAGATTTAAAACAGTCATGTCCCTCGAACGTGGGATACTTTAGTAAAGACCCTCGATTACAAGATCGTAGTCCCTCGATGACTCTTCGATGTTGTCTTTGGTAAACGATCTTAGTCCCTTACAACAATTGCTAAGGTATCTTACAATGTTGCTTTTTATGACTGTACGATGACTCACGCCTGTCCCTTCACATCCAATGATATGGTTTCTTACTAACTAATGGTAAGATAACACTATTTAAAGGAGGAGGAAAAGAACAAGGACTTTTTTTAGTAGGTAGAACGCTCGTAGTTGCTTGCTCACTAACATTTCAAAACAAAACATCTTTCAAACACACCAACACTTTCATGAAATATTTTCAAAAGTCAATACTTTGTATGCATTCTTATAGAGACGAGAATCATTACAAAATTTGCCTAAACGAAGATACTTTTCAAAAATACTTTCAAACAAACACAAACACATTTACAAAGCATTTTCAAAGTGAGCTAGCAACTAAAAACTTGTAGATAACTACGGATGAAAAGGGTGCTAACACCTTCCCTTTTCATAACCTATCCCCCGAACTCAAGAAAATTTTCAAAAGGCCTTTCCTGTTTTTTTCACCCTTTTCTTTATTGGATAAAAGAAAAGTCGGTGGCGACTCTTGCTATCCGCAACAATTGCGATAAAACGCAAAACACACAAGTCAGTTCTTCCACCGTATTACAATTTGATTTTCAATCAACAGGTGTCAGATGATAGATAGTATAAAGGATAGGATTATAGAAAATATTATTTTGAGATATATAGGATACAAGAAATTCGATAACCACGTTAATAAGGATCTACTATGCATTGAGTAAATTCAATAAGGTAAATTTTTTTTAGTTTTGCCTTGTTTCCTGGATCCTTGTGGATCGGACTGTAATTATCTGATTTTGGAAATATAAAAGTTATCTTTTGCTCCCAAAAAAAAATAGTTATATATTTACTATACACTTAACTTATTTTTTATTAAATTTTAATGATAAAATATAGTATATTATTATGTGTGGTTTTTATCTATATTCTTTTATAGAAAGCTACATTGTTAAATTTTATTTTATAATAATATATTAAAAATTTAGTAATATTAATTAGTATTATTTTTAATTAAATCATCATAACTATATAGATAGACAAAATTAAATAAAAAACAAATTTTTCAAGTAGAAAAGGTTATTAAAAAACTTGAAAATAGATATTTAATTTATCAATGAAAACAATTTTCATCTCTATGTGCAATTTTTTAATAACAAATTTAACAAATTGTTCCATAGAGATGATTCTTCAACTTCCAAACTGCAGTATAAAAATATAAATACAGTTTAGTTTACTTGGGAATTAATTAGTGCAATTTTTAGTAAGATTTGAATCCTGAATGATTAAGTTTAATTGGCTTTTGAAAACCCATATTAACATCTATTTATAATTTATTAAAACAGACTCTCAAGCTATTTATATAATGTGACTTGAACAAGTTTTGATTTGATTAGCATGTAAACATACTTCAAAGAATACTTCAATCAAGCAGAGTTCAAATATACGAAGATATCAGATGGAGCATAAGATATAAGATATGACAAGTTACAAATTATCAAGTAGTAATATTTATCAACCAAGTGCAGACATGATAAAAATCGAAGTTAACAAGAACAGAAGTTATCAGTTTCTATGCTCCCAACTCAGGGTACAACAAATCAATAAACTTATATTGAAAAATCTCACAACATACATGAAAATTGAGATATAATCCAAGTGACATTACATCCATTAGCCTTCATAATCCCCCTGAGCAAACTTGTTCTCTTGATAGAAGACGGCTATTACTTCATTTCCACCGAATTTTCTCCCATTCAATCCAGTGCAGGCTTTTGTAGCACCCTCAGTATCCACATATTCCAAAAACACCTGCAAATGCAAAAAACAGAAAAGCTGTCACCCTTTGTTTGCCCATATATAATAGTACATGAGAACTGCTCTATGACTATGACCCTCACAGAAACTTTGGTAATACACTCTATACACATTTTTCAACAGGCTTTTATTTGTTGAAATTCTTGAGAATACCGCCAAATTTACGAGACAGGCGTATATAGGAGAGAGTGAGTTGGAAAGTGTGTTAGTGTATTGCTAGCAAACCTGGATTCCTTCCTGTAACTGACTGCATGCAGCCGGGTTATCTGTAACCGTCTGATGGAGATCGGACGGTTTAGATTTTAAGCTCTGTAATTTTAGCGTAAAAATAAAAATAATGAATCAAAAACTGCTTATTTTTGGACTGTCAGAAGATGGTCACAGATCAGCTGATTGCCTGAATGAGCAACCAGTGATGGCAAGGAATCCGGGTTCATTGCTAGCATTCCTTTAACCATTAACCATGTTTCAATTAAAAGCATATTTTAAAGTGTTTATCGAGTTAATTATTCTGCGCTTAACAGCTTTACCCCAGTTGATTATTCTGGGCTTAACAACTAAGTTTCCAAAAACAACTAAAAGTTAACAAAAAACATGTTATCTATCTGTGGTCAACTTCGTGCATTAGAATTTTTTTTAAAACAGCTTCAGACTTTCTAACGGTACTCAAACTCTTCATATTTTCCATCCATAACTAATAACTACACACCAATCTACCACTAGCATAAAAATGCTATGCACCCTTCATTTCTATATAAATAATAACAGCAATCATCATCATTATCATGAAGAAAACAAGAATAATAACTGGAAAAAAAATAGATATATCATGGCAAGAATTTTTTTTAAAAGAACACAGACCTTTCCAACTCCACCAGATAGATCCCCATCTGGCTGTGGGCGAGGGATCACAACGTTCACCAAAGTACCTGCGCAAATTGTGACAATAAAAGAGTGTACTGTGTAAATAAACTTTCAAAATATTCAATGAAGTAGGTGCATAAAGATGGAAGGTTATGGAGGCCTGGGATTGTAAGTCAGCCCTGATACTTTATAGAAGAATGTCAGACTACAAATGGCTATGAAACAAATAAATATAGCAACTAGTACAAATGCATTGTAGGTTTCAGTAGAAAACCAGCACTCAGTCGGTAATTACCAAATTTGGAGCATTCCTGTCTCATGTCATCGATGATCTCTTCAAAGTCCTCATCTTCTTTGAGCTCGTCAGGAGAAACTGCGTTGGTTAAACACACCACCTTTGTAGCCACTAATGCTGGTTGAAATATAAGTTTCTGCAAAATTGGAAGTAACTAGAGTTTTAAAAGGGCACCGCAATATTGGTAATAGAAATCTTTTCAGAGACAATATTTTATACCTGCAGAGCAATTTGCTGTTGTGCATGCATTAAAATGCTCTCTTGTTCAGGTTTAGGCTGGGTTGTACCTTGATTAGCTCGTCTAACAGTAAGAGTCTTATCTCCCATCTTAATTCCATTAAGAGCTGCACATGCAATATCTGTAACTGCGAGATCTTGGTAAACACAAAATGCATAACCTTTTGAATTTCCTGTTTCTCTATCTTTCACCAGATCAAAACCCCGTAGAGGACCAAAAGTTTCTAAAAGCTCCCTGATCTGAGTTTCTGTGAAGTAATACGGAAGTCCACCCACAAAAATGCGATCAGGGCCTTCAAGTCCACCAGCTGACCCAGGGGTTAAACCAACAGCGCCAAGGTTCAGGTTTGGGTTAGGTTGGCTTGGGCCTAGAGTAGCAGCTAGAGAAGGGTTGTAATCAGTAGGTCTCCTAACTTTGACAGGTGCCCCCTAGAGTTATAATTAAAAAGAAATAAAAATTCATTAAGATCATCAATATTCATTTATTTCAAAAAATGAAAGAGGGAGAAAAGTGTCGGACAACCTCGAAAATAATCCCATCCAAAGCCATTGCATTGCTAGCTTCCTCAACAGACCTCATCTCGACAAAGGCAAATTTTTTGTCATGGTTAATGTAAACATTGACCACCGCATCCCCTTCATACAGTCCCAGCATAAAATTAGTTCCTGACGATGAATGACATCTAAAATTTTAACAGGCTGAAGTAAAGCATATTTGAAGATTTTATGTACCTGGACCAGCAGTGTTTCCTCCAATCTTAGCCATGACCTGGCTGAAGAAAATAGCGACAGACTGCAGCATAGCATGAAAAAATCCATAAGTAGCGGTAAAACAATCATGAACAACAAACAAACTTTAATAAATTACAGAATTGTCTTCCACTTGTTTGTATGCCATGTTAAAAATGATCCCAGAACTCATAAGGGTAAGAGCTTCACAATAAAGTAATTGAATAGAGCACGAAATAAAACTCTAGATGGTCATTTGATTAAACATGAAAAACTATTTGGCAAGACGGCAGTTTAGCAGACTTCCACCCCACTCATTCTCTCAATCAGATATTCAAGTAACACATAAAAAGTACATGACATCAGATTGAAAATGGTCATATGATGAAACAAGAAAAACTATTTGACAAGGCAGCTTAGCTAATCATCATTCAGAAGTTAAAGGGGTGACTCTGAGCAATCTTATAAAATAGATTTGAGCATTGAAAAATATGAAAAGTTCTACAAAACCTATTTCACAAAGTAGTTACAATTATCCAAAAACCAGTAGTAAGGAATGCATAAGGTCAAAGAACATGATTCCAATAGTAAGAAAAACTGATAGTAGAGAAGGCCTGCTAAAGCCCAGTACCTGCTCATTGGCTGTCGGAGGGAGTCCTCCAACATAAACTCTTCTAGCATGTCGAGTAGCCTGTATAAATTTCACACATCAATGAAGTGCCTTAATTAGAGTAAATACTGCTAAAACTTCATACATCAATTAAGTGCTTAAAATCAGTATATCACTGAAAAGTTTTTCTTTACCTGTTGTGTCATAGCCTGAATTGGCATCATAGGGAGAGCACTGAACTGTTGCATCTGAAGAAGAAAAGCAGGAATACAGAATTTAATATAAGCCAAACCTTAGAAAAGAAAAAACAGGAACGGAAACAAATAAAGGGAAATATACCTGACTAGTAGCCATTGGATACATGTTTTGCAACACTCCAGGAATTGTAGGATTTGGCGTAGTAATCTGACCTGCAAATATAGGCATATTACACCTCAGAACAAATTCATTACTGAATCTTTTGAGTAACTATTGATTGATTGGATATCAGTGACTCCTCTTACTTCAATTTCCATTCGTTTAAGCAGAATTAAACCTTGTTAACATAGGCATGAGATTAAAGGAACATTTAAACAAGTTTTGGAGATAATATCTGTACGTCTACCAAAGTATATATAGTTTCCAGTTGAAGACGAACAAGACCCACCAAATACCGGTGCATTGATTCCTCCATGGACATAAAAGCTACAGATGTCGGCTCACGCCCATTGTCAGCACATTGGGGCAAGTAGCCCAACATTGCCTTCTTAGAGCATAAGACAAGACATAGAAACAAACAAACAAACACCAAACAGAAGACAAAAACCAAAGCATCTTTTAGTTTCAGGATTATATCAACAAGTAAACAAAAAGAAGGCTAAATTAAATTGCACACCATAGGAGACCAGTCCTCAAAGAGCTACGTGATCGGATAATAACTGAATACAGCTTACCCAGATAACAGCATGCAATTTGATATGAACTTTTTTCCATACTAAGACCAACAAAAAATGAAAGCAGTTAAGATTAACAAAGTTTGTACAAACACAAGAGCAAATACCTGTAACAGCGGCAGCACCAGCTAACATTGCAGAAGCAGGGGGAGCCAAATCAAAACCACTAACCCTTTTGCTGTAAGTAAATAATGTTAGCATTAAAAAATAAAGGCTACTACCTCACACTAAGAAACATTTTATCAGGTAGTTAGAATGTTAGAACCTTTGTAGCCAACCCTACTTGGTGGGATAAGGATTGGTTTTTTCTTAGAAAGGCGGGATAAGGCTCGGTTGTTATTGTTGTTTTTATTATTATAATTATAATGAACCATTCATCCAACAGATGTTTTTAAGGAAGGAGCATAACTCTGAAGCATGAGTACTTCTAAAATGGTGAAGTACCGGGTACGCTCCCGTATCGGGTACACATACCGTACTCGTGATACTTTATTTTTTTCATTATTTGATTTCAAGTGAACTTTGTGGTTTTCTCAAATATCAATATAGTACATTTATGTATTTTAATTTCTTCTTCATTATATCTTAACATTATTTTTGGTTTTTTAAAAATTTTATAGTGATGTTTTGTTGTTAACCTAACAATTAATTCTCCACTCATACATTTTATAGAAAACTCTTATATTTTATTAACGTACCCGTACCTTGATTTTTTGAAAAATACCGTATTCCATACCAGTACTCGCACCGGGTACCGTACTAGTACATATGCATCATAGAACATAAGCTTAAATGTTAAATATGTTTATTATACGACTTACCTCTTCGAGCGAGAACGTGATCTTGTTCCATGCTCAGATCTATCTTTACCCGGTGAAATAGATCGAGACCTACGTTTATGCCTTTCCTCTCGATCATAATCCCCTCTTCCTCTTCTGTAATATAAACTATTTTTTTAAGCAAAACTGAAAATGAACAAAACAAAAACAACAATTCCAAAAGAAACAACATTACTAATAAAGAACAATCAAGACAAATTACGCATCAACATTGAAAATCTCATATGAGCTTTTTAACCTGTCATGATCACGGTCACGACTCCTGTGAGAATCTCCGTCATCCCTATCTCTATCCCTACCCCTTTCCCTATCCTTTCTGTCACGCTGTCGATAGTCTCTGTGGTGAGGATCCCTTTCCTTCTCCCCATCACCATGATCCCTCTCTCTGTCTCTATCTCTGTGCCTCTCCTTATCTCTTTTCCTATCTTTCTCTCGTTCTTTTTCTCTGCTTCTCGAAGATTCTCTATCATATTCACGCGATTCATGCTGCCAAAACAAACAAACAAAAAAACATAAGTTATACATAAGAGTTAAATTCCACTATCAATTAGATAACTACTCAAACCAAAAAGGAAAAAAAAAATCCTCTTTATCAATGAAGCACAGACATCGGGAACACGACACCGACACGTCGACATCGGTAATAATTTGAAAAAATGAGTAAATTAAACTGATGCCAACACTGACACACATTTTTCAGAGGTGTCAGTGCGCTACAGAGCTCTCTATAGAGGTTCTAATTTCAAAGGTAAAACACATTTAACCCTACATGTTAAATAAATTAAGAATAAAACACAAACCAATTACTAACTAACCCTAATTGCTTAATCTCAAACTCTAACTAGTTAATTTCAAACGTGAATTACAATAAACCTTAACCGTTAATTAACAAAAATGCTAAAACGAAGAATAAAAACGAATCGAGAAATCAAATTCAGAAATCGAAATTGGAAAGAAAAGCGTACACGAGATTTAGGAACGGACTGATCGAGAGGTTGAGGAGAAGATGCAGAAGAAGGATAGGGATGAGTGGTGTCGAGATCCTCTCCTCCTCCTCCTCCTTCTTCTCCGCCTTCTCCGCCTCCGGCGCCGGCTCCGTTCCCGTCGTATCTTTCTTCTTCTTCGTATTCAGCCATCTCTAAACCTAAAAGCAGTTTGTTTCAGTTCACTATACTTTTCTTTTACTACTCTTAACTCAGGCCACTGTTTTCCTAACTGCAATTCTTTTTTTCTTTTTTTTTCAATTTCAAATCTAATATATTATTATATATTAAAATTGTTAACGCTCGTAACAATTTTTAGAGTTAAAACTGAGCATATTTTTATAACTTTCTTTTCTATTTATTTATTTTATGTTGATTTTAAAATTGAATTAATATTATTATTATTATTATTATTATTATTATTATTTTTAATGTCATTTTTTATATTTAATTATTATCATTTAAATATTGATTCATTCAAAGTAAATTTCAATTAATTAAATATATTAATAAATCTACAAATAATACTAAGATAATTTTTTATTTTAACTAATAATAATTTGTGTATTTTATAAAAAGTAAATTTTCTTCCACTAACTATTAAAAGTTAAAACCCGTTTTCTTTTTTTTTTTTATTGATTCATTTAAGGTAATTATGCTATTTTTCTTAATCATATTAATTAATATTTGTTTAAATTAAAATAATATTTCATCATACTTAATCAGTATGATAATATTTTATTCTATTTAAATTAATTTAATTAGTTAATTGAAATATAATAATAATAAGAGTCTCTAAAATACGATTGAAATTTAAATAATAAAAATACAGTTGAAATTTATTTCCATATTTATAATGGGTTACAAACAAACTTCACACGTCCTTAATTAATTATAAAAATTTAAACAAATTTAATTGAACACGTAATTTAAAAAACAAATGGTTACATATTTTGAAAATCCTCATTAATTCAGTTCCAAGGTTTCCATTTAAACATTTGCAGTGGGTTACGACTTCAACCCCACGTTTCCATAATTATTTCAACAAAATCTTAAACCATCTAAATTATAATGACATGGTAGGGGTGGTAAAGTGGGCGGTCCGCTCCGTTTAGGTATGTTCTGTTTAAATTTGTATAAAAGTGAGACCAGATGGGGTGGACAAATTTAAGCATCTAAGTTCAAAAGTCAAGCTCATCTCGTTTATTAACGAGTTGGTGGATTGACGAGCTGGTCCACCAATTTTTTTAATTTTTTTATTTTATAATTTAATTTATTACATAATTTACAAAAAATTTAATCATTATTAAAGAAGTCGACAAAAGATATTTTTTTAACAACACATAATATAACTTCAACATGTCTTAAGTCCAAACACTTAAAAAAAATAATAAAGATCAATTTCAAGAAAAATATACCGAAATAGACTCTAACACGATAAAAAAAAAGTATCAAAATAAATAAATAAACAACGCATATCATCGTAATCCTATTTAAAAACTAATTACTAAAAGAACTCGATCAATAAGTTACACAAGACAAACAATGATAACAGTGCAGTGCATAAAATAGTAGTGTATAAAATATTAGCACCTGACTTTTTCATTGTTTACGTCATGTAGACTATTATATTGACTGATTTCTTAATAGTTATATCTTAAATTTGTCACACATATACTCTAATCGAATTCTTCCTTTTCTTAAAATTAACATTTGTTTCTAAAGAAAACATGTCAGTTAATATATTGACAACTTAATAGTTCTTCATGTCATACAATTGTTCTTGTATTTCAAGTTTTTCCAATCAATACATGTATTAGAAAGTTATATAAAGAACCTTACAATTATAATTCAATTTGTCTTTAAAATAATTTAGAATGTAATTCAATCACCATAACCCAAAGAAAATATTGTTGTTTTTATAGATAAAGTTGTCTTAATTCTAAGTAAAAAGTAAAAATTTGGCCTAGTATCTACGACATATATTTTATTGTACTTTGTTATTTTATTTATGAAAAAATTTATTAGGATGCTCCAAATTACATGAGTCAAATTTAGAGCATTGAATAATTGTTTTCCTTACCAAATAGATTCATAGTAAGAATTCATTAAAACCTCAAGATCGAATACAGTGAGTACTCCGATCCGGGGCCAAAGAAAAGAGCTACCCTCAACTCTTTAAACACCTAAGAGACAAAGTGTGTTAGAACAAGATTAGTTCTGATCATATCTCAGAGTTTTGATGATAACAATAAATTATATTTTATATATTTGATACTCTGATGAACATATTTAATTGTTTCAGATAATGTTCTGACAGAAGCATCTTGATGTGCTGAGCTGAAAATAAATGAAGAAGTTCTTTGATGAAAGAACCATTCGTTTTAGCGCAAGTGCTGATGCTGACTCTGGTAATATAATTATTTAAATACATCTTCTAACGCTTAGCAAGTTTCTGTGTAAGTTATGTTTCAGAAGTTCTTTGAAAGCAAGTGATGTTCAGAAGTTACTTGAAAGCAAGTGTTGTTCAGAAGATATTTGAAAGCAAGTGTTGTTCAGAAGTTACTTGAAAGCAAGTGTTGTTCAGAAGATATTTGAAAGCAAGTGTTGTTCAGAAGTTACTTGAAAGCAAGTGTTATTCAGAAGATATTTGAAAGCAAGTGCTGATCAGAAGTACTTAGCAAGCAAAGCATTGTTTAGAAGATAAGCAAGCATGTTCTGAATCAAGACGTGAAGTAAGTTCTGAAAGAATGCAAAAGCTAAACAAGTCTTGTCAAGGATCAGGAGACATGCTCTTACAAGTGTCGTTTGCTCATTTAATGCAAAGACGGCTACATGCACTCAAGTGTCTATGCTAGTGCATTGGAAAATGGAATAGTGCAAGGAAACACACAAACATTTAATGCTCTCCATTTGAAGGCAGCAACGGTCATGTTTCTTCATGCTATATATAGAAGAACATTAATTGCAAGCCAACTACTGCTCAAGCGAAAAACAACTGAACCACTGCTCAACTGAAAGGCTGAACAACTGAAGTTCTAAATAGAACTGAACAAATTCAAAAAGAAGCAAGAACTAGGCAAAAATATTTTGGGCTCACAAACAAATTTCATACACTTTATGCTATATTATTCTTAGTGAAAAATCACAGTTGTGATATAGCTTTCTTAGAAGCAAACTTTGTTTCACTATCTGTAAAGATTTATCTCTTATAATTGTTCCTTGAGAGACCAAGTTTGGTCAGATTTCTCAAGTAGACTAGGACTAGTTTAAGTCTTAGTGGTGTGAGTCACTTGTAGGATTACTTGTGCGTTGTTAGTCACAACAGTTGTTATGTGATTGTAATCAGTTGATTATAGTGGATTAAGTCCTTGTTGAGAAAGGCGAAATCACCTTGACGGATAGACTGGAGTAGCTTGAGTTCAAACGAACCAGGATAAAAATAACCTTGTCTTTCCATTATTGTTGATCCTTTAAGAAAAAGAAAAAGAGAAACTTATTCACCCCCCCCCCCTCCTTCTAAGTGTTTTCTCCACCTTCAATTGGTATCAAAGTCTGGTTCTGAGTTCAACACTTAACCGTGTCAAGAAAAGATCTAGAAGAAAACACAATGGCAAATGAACAAAACAACAATAATTACACCAGACCTCCAGTGTTTGATGGAGAAGATTTTGATTATTGGAAAGATAGACTAGAAAGTTTCTTTCTAGGTCATGATAGTGATTTATGGGATATAGTCTTGGATGGTTACACACATCCTACAGACTCAGAAGGAAATAAGATTGATAGAAAAAATATGGATAGACAACAAAAAGCTAATTTCAAAAATCATCATAGAGCTAGAAATATTTTTCTAAATGCTATCTCTAAAGTGGAATATGAAAAAATCACAAATAGAGATACATCACATGATATGTTTGAGTCTCTTAAAATGACTCATGAAGGAAACGCTCAAGTGAAGGAGTCTAAAGCTCCGGCTCTCGTCCAGAAGTATGAAGCCTTCAAGATGAAAGAAAGTGAATCTATAGAAGATATGTTCTCAAGGTTCCAAACTCTGATTACTGGCTTGAGAGTTCTGAACAAGGGATATTCTAAGGAAAATCACGTTAAGAAGGTCATCAGAAGCTTACCCAGAAGATGGGCCCCTGTGGTCACTGCTTTCAAAGTTTCAAAGAATCTGAACAACGCGTATCTTGAAGAACTCATCAGTGCTCTCAGAAGTCATGAGATAGAACTTGATGAGCACGAGCCTCAAGAGAAAGGTAAGTTTATTGCCCTTAAATCAATTATAAAATATGAAACTAAAGCTTTTCAGGGTAAAGAAGAAAACTCTGAAGAATCTGCTTCAGAAGAAGATGAACTATCCTTGCTCTCCAGAAGGATCAATCAGTTGTGGAAGCACAAGTAGAAGAATTTCAGAAACTCCAGAAGAATGGGAAATGACTCTAAACAATCCTCTGGACACAGAATATCAAGTAACAGAATCATTATCTGCTATGAATGAAATAAACAAGGTCACTATAAAAGTGAGTGTCCAAGGCTTCAGAAGGAGAAACATAAAGGGGAGTTAGTTAAGGAAAAGAAGAAAAGTCTTATGGCAACATGGGATGATTCTGAATCTTCTGAAGACGGAGCAGAATCAGAATATGAACAAGCCAATATAGTTCAAACCGACAACTTATCATATGTCTCTGAATCCTCAGAATCAGAATCATACACTGAAGAGGTATTCCCTGACTTCACTGTTAATTTCACTAAAGCTGAACTAAGAGAAAGTCTGAGTGAAATTCTGGAAAGATATCAACAGCTTCGAGTCAAATTCAGGAATCTAAAAAAGGATCTTGCTTTTGACTCTGAAGTAACTGAGAGCCTGAGATCAGAAAACTCTGAGTTAAAAGAAAAAATTTCAAAACTAGAAATGATCTACAAAACTCTCAGAAGGAAATAATCTCAGAAGATCCTAGTAATGTTGATAAGATCATAAAGAAATATGATCAAAGCTTTCAGAAGTTTCTAGCTAAAAACATAGATAGAAGCAAAATGGCTTCAATGATCTATGGAGTTAGCAAGAAAGACAGAATAGGTATAGGATACAAAGGCAAAACAACTCATCCTAAGAAAGTTAATGATCTGGTTATCAAACGTACTCCTCT